AATTTGAAAAAAGATGGGAATGAGGATTATTCCTGGTTCTCCTCATTAGCAGAGTTCAGTTTTTCTTATTAAAGCAGTTCCCAAAATTTAATTAATTGGATTTTAGCAGTGTGTTATGTTCAAATATGAATTATTATTTTTTTTTGGTTTCTGCTTTAATGGGAAATGTTTTAGGTTTATTTTGTGCTATAATAAAATATTTTAGATTTGTTCTGTGCTTTAATAGGAATTATTTTAATGCTTTTATTGCTTTAATAGGATATTTTTTTTTGCTTTAATGGGAATTATTTTAGGAGTTTTCTGTGCTTTGATAGGAAATATTTTAGGTTTGCTTTGTGCTTTAGCAGGGAACTTCTCAGTGTTTTTTCCTGCTGTAATAGGGAACATTCCAGGTTATTTTGTGCTGTGACAGGAGCCATCCAGGTGCTTTTCCTGCCTTTAATTCCCATTTTCCCTGGCTGCAGGAGCTGATGCTGCAGAGGATGAGGAGGTGGATGTGACCAGCGTGGATCCCATCGCCGCCTTCTGCAGCAGGTGCATTCCCTCTACAACCCCAAAATTCCCTTTACAAACCCCAAAATTCCCTTTGACAGCCCCCAAAATTCCCTTTGACAACCCCCAAAATTCCCTTTGACAACCCCCAAAATTCCCTTTGACAAACCCCAAAATTCTCCTTTACAAACCCCACCATTCCCATTGCAAACAACAACGTTACCTTTACAAATCCCAAAATTCTCTTTACAAATACAAAATACAAACTTCCTGTTACAAACCCCAAAATTCCCTTTCTCAAACCTACCACCCCCATCCCCACTCCATCCCCACCCCATTCCCACTCCCCAATCTCCCCGATCCCATCCCTGCTCCCATTCCCATTATCTCATTCCTATTCACACATTCCTCGATCCCATTCTCCCATTCCCACATTCCTTTTCCCACATTCCCATCCCCACTCCCATTTCGACTCCCATTCCCATATCCCCGATCCCATTCCCACGTTCCCATTCCCATTCCCCCATTCCCACGTTCTCACGTTCCCATTCCTGATCCCATTCCCACATTCCTGCTCCCATTCCCCCATTCCCATTCCCACATTCCCAATCCCATTCCCTTGCTCCCATTCCCTTGCTCTCATTCCCATTCCCCCATTCCCACGTTCTCACGTTCCCATTCCCAATCTCATTCCCCCACTCCCATTTCCCCATTCGCATTTTCATTCTGACATTCCCAATCCCATTCCTCCATTCCCATTCCCATTCCCACATTCCCAATCCCATTCCCTTGCTCCCATTCCCATTCCC